TCGCGCTGTGATGACGTCACATACGCGCTTTCGTCGACCGCGATTTTGTCGTCCGCGGTTTTGTGGTAGAACCAACTAAATCATGCAAAGTTATAAAAATGAATGGTCTAATTTAGATGAAAGCAGTATGAGGGTTTTTCCCAGTGGCTGAGATCCCAGCATAGCCCATCAACCATGTCAGGTGCCTTTTCAAGAAAACCCAAATCTTCCAGATTTCCCACAGCACATGATGTCTTCCTACACAGATAGTCCTTGATTTATGACAATTGAATCCAACACTTATGCTGCTAAGTGGGACAATTGTTTAATGAATCTTACCCCATTTTACGACCTTTCTTGCTACAGTTGTTAAGTGAATCATGGCAGTTGCTAAGTTAGTAACATGGTTGTTAAGTGAATCTGATTTCCCCATTGATTTTGATTGCCAGAAGGTCGCAAAAGGGGATCACATGACCCCGGGACACTGCGGCCGTCATAAATATGAGTCCAGTTGTCAAGCTTCCGAATTTTGATCACATGACCATGAGGAATGCTGCAATGGTCATGTGTGAAAAAGGGTCGCAATTTCCTTTTTGCAGTGTTGTTGTAACTTTGGTCACTAAACAAATGGCTGTAAGTTAAGGACTACCTCTATAAAATAGAAATTAGGCATTATATACAAATATATATATATTGTTCTTTTTGAGTGGTGCAGTTCCCAGGAGGTGAAGCTGCCGCCTCACAATCAGGAGGCAATGAGAATATATCTGCTGAACAAAACTCCTCATTGGTGACAGTAAGGGCATCTGGCCAGTAAACACTCAGCTCCATTCAGTTGCCCAGACTCCACCTTGCAAGGGATTATGGGGGTCGTTAAAGGAGAATGATATATTTTGTTCTTTTTCAAAACCAAAAGCTTAGCTTTTCTGCACAGATATTTTCAGGGCAACGCAGAGGAGGGGGGAAAAAACTTACCTGCAACAGGTGTCCATGAGTGGCAACCAGGAAGGAGTCCTTTTATTTCTCGTACAATAAAGAATGAGTACAACTATTGCAATGGGAAGAACTATGAACACAAACACCAGGATCCAGTTTCGTGCAGCCACATTGCTGTCTGGAAAAAAAAAGAAAGAAAGAAAGAAAGAAGGAAGCTTCTGTGTGAGCTGTCTTTGTTTTTCTGAAGGATATTCCGCTTTGGAGACTTACCATTGTAAGTAGGCCCGCTGTCTACACTGCCCCCATATCCTGGGGAATCGCAATAGGGAGGCGCCCAATCTGAATTGCAATGGCAATTTTTATTGCTGTTGCACACCTGTTTGAGAGAGGGAAGTATAATATTTTGGTGAACTTGCCTGTCAGGCCCGCAGCCATCTTTTCTTTTGGATCTTTGGCCTGCCACACTTTCTATTATTCTGCTATTCATTTTCTATTGCGGGAAAATGGGAGGAAGATTGTATGGAGTGAGATGCGATGCAGCCATAACAAAAGTCTTTCTAGAAAGCCAAGGTCATCCTTTGTCTTTGCACCTCTGCACCTGACCAGATCTGGATGGGTGGAATTTGCCTTCAGAAGCTGTGGGAGC